AGCGAAACCGACCGCCTCGGAAGTCGGTATAGAGTTTGATGCGAGATTGGATTGAAGAGTCAGAACCATCAATTTTTTTAACGATTTACTTGGGATATGTCCGAATGTATTTAAAAGATCTGTTTTTTATTCTTGAATTAGACTGCACTAGAATTTTTTTTTCTGCCAAATACCAAATCTACATACAGGATGCGTTATCAAAATTTGGACAAATTTCAATTTAAATTTTCCGCTATATTGTGCCTCCACCAGAGGTTGTTGTTGGCGTCCGAGAAAGCTTGATGCTTCTAAAGTCAGTAAACAGTCATATTCTCAAAATGGCCGCGACGTTGAAACCAAGTGCGGAAGATAATCGAAGATGATCGAAGTCTTCTCGCTGGGGGCTCAGCAACGGAAATAATTCGGTTCTTTGGATATCCGAGATCAACCGTTTATGATGTTGTGGCAAAATATGGCTTTAGAATAGTCCAACGAAGGTTCCAGTATACCAGCGAAAAAGAGTCATTCGAAAGAACGCACCGCGAGAATCGCCGCAGTCGTTGAAAGGGCTCAAGCGCTGATTTTGGGTGACCCAGGGCAATCGTTGCGAAAATTAGCATCGATTGTTGGTGTAAGCGAGCCAACAATACGTCGAATTGCCAAGGTGGACCTTGGATATAAATCTTACACATTAAAGATACGATGATGTCTGAGGCTGCCAGGACAAGCCGAGTTGCTCACTTCGGCTCCCATTCTGACCTCCCAACTGCCCAGATTTAAATCCCTTGAACTACTACGTAGTTGAAAGGATCACAAACAAGTCTCGCCATCCGAATGTGACGTCTATTAAGGATCGCTATTGAAACAGCATTCGTCGGCATAGACAGCACTACATTACAGCGTGCATGCGAACGCTTCCGAGGATAGAGGCCGTTATTCAAGCTAATGGGAGATGTATCGAATAATTGTGCTCTACAGGGATCCCCCAAATACCATGTAAAAGGATTTTTTGTAATATTTAATTTTTCATTAAAAACATTTTGTTTGAAGACATTGTTCGATTTGTCCGGATTTTGGTGACGCCCTGTATCTATTTCACTTTAAATTCCAACAATATATACTTCAGCTACAGAAAACAGACCTAATGTGAACCAAGTGTAAGTCTACTTGGACGATCGCTCATTGAAGTCTTCGGCCAGTTCAATTTGAGCTCCGGAGTCAAAACGCAAAGCCATCGACACTGCGGACCAAAAAATTCAACGTGAATAAGATTTCGGAGACTGTAAAGTGTTGATAAACATCACTCATTGTCAGATGTGTACATAACACATTGAATTTTTTTGCGTCGATAGCTTTATATTTTGGCTCTGGAGCTCAAATTGGACAGGTCTGCCTTCAGCGATGACGATGAAGAAGACTTACGGCAAGCAATGCAGAAGGTATTTGCAAACAAGCTCTATTTGTGCTAAAAGGAGAAATTTGCTGTCGTTGCGACGATCGTAACTCAGACGTCGAATGACGAACGCGACGGAGGACGCTGAGCAAGTATTCCGGAAGTGTGACAACGGTAATGGATAACTGGAAATCGTGCGCCATCGACACTGCGGACGACGTACCTAACACGCGGTGGTCTCCGAGATAGCCGGGAATATCGCGGCTACCGTCCCGTCCGAAGTCACGTTCAGCATCGTGACGGTATTTGAACGACCACTAGATAGATCATAGCAACTACATAGAGATCACAGCAGCCGTTTACGCTTTAACGCCTCTCGATCGCGGTTGCCCGTAATACGACTTTGCACACTCGACATGGACATTGATGAAGGATAGTAGAAGGATAGTCGCGAGTTTCGATCAACTTTGGTTGGAGAAACCAAGTTAGTTAGTTGAAAATCGCAACCGAAAATTGTTTAATATTACGATGAATAAATGCCGCATTTAATGAATCGTTACCTAATTTAATTCGATGTCTATTAACGACATTAGGTGTAATTTTGTGAATGTTCATGATATTAATAAGACTCATTGATATCGTCAAGATTAATTATAATTGTAACAATCTCAGCTGTTAAGCTGAGTGGTAGCACCATTATTTACAAAATATAGATCGATATTCATAGTTCTTGTTTTAAGACTGTCTTATGTGACGTTCAATATCCTAGTATGGTTCTGTGACGTTTGGTTTATAATATTTTAAGACTTGAGATGATTTTAAATATAAGAATCAAGTATGAATATCGGCCATATTGTTAGTATTAGATTAATTTTTGCACTTTGTTAGTTTAATAGAAAACAATTATATAAGTGTACACAGTATATATAAGTAATTAGTTAGAAAAAATGAATTATTTGATCTAATCTAAAAGTATATGTCCGTTAGTTGCAATTCGTATCGAGATAAATTTTTTTTAAACTGCAGCGATACCTGGATCGCACTCGGACCGGGTTGGTCCGCTGGATTTGGAAGTCCACGGTCTGTCCTGGAGTCCTGGTAATCACTTCATCCGCGCTCACTTCGAATCAACGTATCCTCGTGACTCATCTCGTACCCCACACAACGACAGCCACGAGTTCCCGACGGCATAATCGCACGGGGAAACCACCATCGTGATTCACCGTGATTCACGACGTGGATCAGGGTGCAGGATGAATTCCTTCGGCGTTGCGCGAGGACCGGGACTGATTCACCGAAAGCTCAGCTCTTCATCCTGACAGAACCGATCAAGCACTTGAAAGATTTCTCGCGTCGTGGAGGATAAAGCTGTGCGAATTTAAACGATGATCCGATGTTTCGAATGAGATTCGATTCCTGTGTCAGGACCGGACGGATCGATTAATGGACCTCGAGATGCTCGGTCATCAGCGTTGCGTTGCAACGAATAGTTATCGATCGTTTGACCGCATCGTGTTAGATTAGAAACGCACGATTCAACTGTAAAAAAATTCTGCGGTAACACTGAACCCTACAATATCCTGACGTGGACAGCCCGTCGCTTCATCAGGAAACCATTGTTCGCTGTTTAATTCCGCTTACGCGCATTATTTTGCATCACAGCTGATTTCTTAAAATTACTTTGCGCACTCATTAAATACGCGAATAAGTAGATAATTTCATTATTGGTTCTTCAAGTGACGAGAAGGTCGGACGCCTTCTCGTCTTGAAAAATTCAAGTTTGGGAAAAAATGAAACGCGTGCCTGTGTGACAACCTGACAACAGATTAACGAATAGTAAACGTGTAAAAGGGACAGGAAATTCGATCGCACGCGCGTGATGCTGGAATAGAATAGCGGATCGAAACCG